TAGGGTTTTTTCATCATTAAAACAACATTTTCGATAGAATTTTGAGGTGCATATGTGATACTACTTTTTAAGGTTGCAATCTATATAAACTTTTTCCATATATATATATATTCCCTATTCACCTTCTCTCTCATCTATTTTCTATTCTCTCGTTTATTTCTCAATCTCTGAACGAGGTCTCTAAGAGCTATTACCCAATCCGCGAGCATCAAATATACACTCCAACACTATTTTATAGGTATGTCATCAAAATCGTCAGGCTTTTAATTATATTTCCTTGGATTTGCGATGTGAACATTTTACAAGAAATATTATGTTGTTTTGTTATAGTACTTGAGTGGTTGTAATTTTTTTGATTAAAATATTGCATAAATAAGTTTTAGATTTGTATTATATTGTGGCATTTGTATCGCAATCTAATGTCCCTCTAGAATGCAACCTCCTCATTATATATAAGTATTCTGAAACTTCTCAACAATATTTTATTATTGTTTCCATCCGAAATTTCTTTGCCGTAATTGACCTTGTAGGTAACAATAATGGGTGACAACGGAGTGAAAATTGGTTTGCACTTAGGTGGTTCTTTTTAGATGAAATCTAATGACGTATTTTCTATGACGGTGGGGACATGAAGGTTATATTTTTTGGAAGATCATATCATTCGATCAAGTAATGCTCACTTGTCAAGTATTTGACCAAGTAATGCTACTACCGTGTGAAGGTTATTTTAGTAAAAAAAAATATCGAAAATGAAGAAAAAGGGTGTGGACAATGTTTATGAAAGTTGAAGGTTTTTTTTTAAATTAGACAAAAATTAAGATATATTTGTGATAATTTCTCTTTTTTTTTTCCTTTCCCTTTCTTTAATTTTGTTTATGAAGTGAAATTGAAACCCCATATAAAGGGCATTGCCGTTACATAATTGTTATTATAATGAAAACAACATCCGTTAGTGTTATTGTAAGGACCGTTTTCTACATCCACACGCATTGTCTGTACATGTCAAAGGGTGGGAGTTGTTAAGATTCTAACGTCAATTTTTTCAAAGAATGAGGTTTCGATAAGACCTAGGCTTTATGAAAACAAAACAACGCCTCACCTCAAATCCTCGGAAACTACTTTTGCTGACAAAAATCTCTATGATGGTTCAAAAATCAATTTTCAACACAAACAATAAAATTTGAAACTCAAATATAGGTATAGATCTTGTGGATTTGTGAACACTTATTTTTAAAGTAAAATAGACTGTCTAAATAATTTATTACAATATACACTATTTTTAGAGCTTGAATCCTATTTTTTTTCACAATCATAATGTCCCAGTCCAGATGATTGATGTAAAGGTTTTCCAATGTTTGACTTGCAATTTTTTATTGAGTTATTTTAATAGGGTTGCAACCCTATCGAACCATTTTCCTTTTTTAAAAAGGTAAAGGTGTGCGTAGGTCTGGGGCTTTGTAATGGCTTCTTCAAGTGGCAGTTTAAAAAATTGTCAAAAATTTATATTCCACCTCCGGAAAAATATAAGAAAAGTCATCGCAACCTCGATAGTCATGGATCTTAGAGAAAAAAAAAAAAAAATTATTGTAGCTTATAGTATGTTGCCTAGGCCGTCTATTATCAATTCTCCCAAATACATCATATTTGTGATAACGGGTAAAATTAAATTTTCAATCCATGCAATGTGTTTCTGGTGCCAAAACTGTATTTCCTGCTAGGGTTTTGAGGTGCATCTTTACTTCTTTGTCGTGAAGCTTGGGCCTTATACTAAGCGTACCCTATTTCTTTCCGGATATACTGTGAGTACATATACTGTGCTATACATTTACACCTTCGGGCAAAACATTTACTAGGGAGGCTTTTTTTATTATTATTACTTCAAATTATGGATCCATCTAGTTATAACTAGATTATTATTTTTGAATAATATTTGAATTATTGAACATCTAGACCATTCCTTATAAAAATTAGATGGTTCTAGAAAAATATTGGGATGCCACTTTTTTTTAGGGACAATGAGAGTTAATTTTTCTGTTTCTTTAAAGTTAGTTGCATGGCTCTAGAGATCATATACCCAAAATTTGGGATCTAGAGTTAATTTTTGTTTCCTTTTTCATACGGTTTGTTGCGTGGCTCTAGAGATCATATACCCAAAATTTGGGATCTAGAGTTAATTTTTGTTTCCTTTTTTTTTATGGTTTGTTGCGTGGCTCTAGAGATCATATACCCAAAATTTGGGATCTACACGTTATTAGTAATATAAGTTTTGCATGAGGGAGTAGAAGGATAGTATACCCCTGTAGGAGTAGGAAATCTTGTGGCTTTACTGCCACGACCCTTTAAAGTGGTTAAGATGCATCATTTGGCAGGTCAACAAGGCTTCATAGGAGGACAATCCAAATTTTTCTTGCATCCTTCTCTGTCCTGCACCAAGCTCAAACGAGCAAAACAAACCCTAGGGAATGGAGGAGGAGAGGCTAAGAGTGCCCATGTCCTGCTTCTTCCCTATCTAGCTCAACGCCACATTGGATGACCTCATAGCTCGACTCAATGCACAGAGTTCCCGACCCGTCTACCTCATCTATGACTCGTTCCATACGTGGACCTTGAATGTAGCCCATGCCCATGGTATCCTAGGAGTCACCTTCCTAACACAGTCTTGTGCAGTAAGCTCCATATACTGTCGCTACCTTAGGGGCGATCTCGACATGCGAACAGGACCCGATGCATGTTTTTGCTTCGGGGATTGCCACCACTGGGCTTACAAAACTTGCCATCGTTTATTAGCAAGGTCGTCGGTAATCCTTTCTACCTCAAGTTGTTGTTGGGCCAGTTCAAAAGCATAGAGAAGGCAGATTATGTGCTCAAGAACTCATTTGATAGCTTTGAAGGAGAAGTGAGCAAAGAGATGGCAGAGTGTTGGTCTCCGAAGATGATAGGCCCGGCACTCCCTTCCGCCTATCTAAGAGCCACAGGGACAAAGAGATAAGCAGGGGAAGCTTGCAGACTGTCTCAATTTGCTGGATCAAAGAGCAACCAGATCAGTAGTGTATGTTTCCTTCGGGAGCATGGCTGTTTTGCCCACCGAGCAAATGGAGGAGATTGCTAACGCCTTGGGCTCGAGCAAGCGGCCTGTCCTATGGGTGGTGAGGCCCCCCCTCGCACACCTAAAGGGCGGGAATTCCCTCCTAGAGGGATTTGTAGAGGCCAAACCCGAGCAAGGGCTCGTGGTGCCGTTGTGCCCCCAGCTTGATGTCCTAGCACATCGAGCCATTGGTTGTTTCGCGACTCACTGTAGGTGGAACTCGACATTGGAGGGGCTAGGAGTCTCCATGATCACAGCTCCTCTGAGGAGTGACCAACCGACGAACTCAAAATTTGTTTCTGACGTCTGGGAGATGGGGTTGCGAGTTGGGGTCGACCAAAATGAAGTGTTTCGCAGAGAAGAACTGGAAAGGTGGCCATGGAAGGGGAGAGGGGCTCTCAGTTGAGGGAGAATGCACAGAAGTGGAGAAACGTGTCCATAACAACGACGTTTCCAGTTTGACACAATCGGAATAAAAAACAACAGATACAATGGACAAAACGGAGAGATGTTTTAAAGGGAAAATTACACGTGTATCTATTATATTTTAAGAGTTATTACAATTTCACCAAAAATTATCCTTTATTACTACTCTACCCACTTATACAAGTTATTACAACATTTTGTCAATAGTTTAAAAAAAATCAAATTGCCTTCTTCGGAGTTTTCAAAATCTGAAATTTATTTTTGCATGAATTGTGCATGACTGAATTTTTTGGATCTTCAAATCCAAAAATTTTTAAATTTCGGATTTTCAAAATCCATAAATCACAAAGCAAAAAATCTACAATTTTGAAGTCCGAAATGTTTTTTATTTCCAATACTTTAGATCAGAAAATATGGAATTGTTGGACTTTAATAGTCCAATATTTATTTATTTATTTAGGATCCAAAAATAAGAAAATTTCGAACCTTGAAGTTTCGAATTCATTTTTTATTTCGAATCTTGAAGATCCCAAAGTAGGGCAATTTTGGAAAAAACTCTCAGGGCTCCTAAGAACGGGTATACATGTAATATCCAAAATTTTGAATATAATAAGTGAAAATTTGAAGTAAAATTGTAATAACGCATAATATAAAGGACACATGTGTAAATTTTCCTTTCTAAAATATATATTAGGGAAAACATCTCCATACACCATCTTTTATATTTCATTTATCAGCAGACCCAAGGCTCCAAAACATATCTTACAGCATTGAGATCCCATGTAGTATATCTTCTATCCCTGGACCACATTTACCTCTCTTTTTAGCCCAAACAAAAGTTCAAAATTTTTTTTTTTCTATTTCTTTCTAAACCCCTTCTCTCTTCATGTGTTTCTCCCCAAATCTCTCTAATTTTGTTTCAAATATTGGATCTCTCTAATTTTGTTTCAAATATTGGAAAAAAAATCGTTTTTTTTTTAAGAGAGAGAGAGATTTGGGGAGAAACACAGCCTGAAGGGGTTTAAAAACTCTATCTTCCGGTGTTTATCCCTTAATATCTCTCCTTTTCTTTTTTATATTAGAAAAATATCTTTAAAAAAAGAGAGGAGAGAGGTTTGGAGAGAACAGAGAGAATGAGGTTTAAAAAGAAATAGAAAAATTGATGTCTTTTTTATTTTTGTTTAGGCTAAAGAAATATACGATAAAGTTGGTCGAGAGGTTAAAAATATAATACATGAGGTCTCTATGCCACAAGATATGTTTTAAATCATTGGATCTATTGAAAAATGAAAATAAAAACAATGTATACAGGGATATTTTCCCTATATAGTTATTTATCTCCAAAATTTGAGATCTATACCATATTACTAGGTGAGTACCCCCGCAAGAGTATGAAATCTTTTGGCTTTTCTAAAACCTCGACATGGACTGCCATGCCTTTAAAATGGTTAAGATACATCATTTGGCAACACAACAGACGATCAACCATGCTCCATAGGATTGCTTTCACCCTCCTCCCTCCTACACCAAGCTCAAAGGTGCAGCACAAACCCTAGGGGAATGGAGAAAGAGAAGACTAAGAGTGCCCATGTCCTGCTTCTTCCCTATCCAGCTCAAGGCCACATAAACCCACTCCTCCAATTTGCCCATCGCCTCACCGCCAACGGCCTGAGGGTCACCCTCGCGGTCCCGATTCGATGCTGCAATGATGTCAACAAAACCGACCCCTCGGCCCTCACCTCCATTAACCTCGAATTCATCTCCGATGGACATGATGGTGGCTTGCCATCGGATTTCGATGCAGAGACTTATGAGGCCGAACTCCACCATGTCGGGTCACAGACATTGGATGACCTCATAGCTCGACTCAATGCACAGGGTTCCCGACTCGTCTGCCTCATCTATGATTCGTTCCATACGTGGGCCTTCAACGTCGCCCGCCCATGCCCATGGCATCCTTGGAGTCGCCTTCCTAACACAGTCTTGTGCGGTAAGCTCCATATACTGTCGCTACCTTAGGGGCTATCTCGTCGTGCGAACAGGGCCCGATGAATGTTTTTGGCTTCCAGGTTTGCCACCGCTGGGCTTACGAGACCTACCCTCGTTCATTGGCCGGATCGCAGGTGACCATTTCTACCTCAACTTGTTGTTGGGCCAGTGCAAAAACATAGAGAAGGCAGATTACGTGCTCAAGAACTCATTTGATAGCTTAGAAGGAGGAGTGAGCAAAGAGATGGGAGAGCCTTGGTCTCCGAAGATGATCGGCCCGGCACTCCCTTCCGCCTATCTAAGTGGTGAAAATCCAAGAGCCACATGGACAAGAGATAAGTAGGGGAAGCTTGCAGACTGTCTGAATTGGCTAGATCAAAGGCCAACCAGATCAGTAGTGTATGTTTCCTTTGGGAGCATGGCTGCTTTGTCCGCCGAGCAAATGGAGGAGATTGCTAGCGCCTTGCGCTTGAGCAAATGGCCTTTCCTATGGGTGGTGAGGCCCCCCCTCGAACACCAAAAGGGCGGGAATTCCCTTCCCGAAGGATTTGCAGAGGCCACCTCCAAGCAAGGGCTCGTGGTGCCATGGTGCTCCCAGCTTGATGTCCTAGCACATCAAGCTGTTGGTTGTTTCGTGACTCACTGCGGTTGGAACTCGAAACTGGAGGGGCTAAGCCAAGGGGTTCCCATGATCGCAGCTCCCCTGTGGAGTGACCAGCAAACGAACTCGAAATTCATTTCTGACGTCTGGGAGGTAGGGGTGCGAGTCGAGGTTGACGAAAATGAAGTCCTTCGCAGAGGAGAACTTGAAAGGTGCATAAAGGAGTTCATGGAAGGGGAGAGGGGAGATCAGTTGAGGAAGAATGCACATAAGTGGAGAGATTTGGCCAGGGAAGCTATGAACGAGGGGGGAAGTTCTGATAACAACACCAAAGAATTTGCAGCCATGGTTTCCAATGGCCACTTCAACAAGTAGGATATATTTTCATGGTTATGTTTTGCATAGCCAAATCTTATGATGTCTTCCATGTTGTAATATTGGAAGCTAACGGTACAAAGTTATTGTTTTATTTGTAACAAGTAGTTTTTAGTGGTTGGATCAAGGAGCAAACGTAGCATTTTGTGGCCTATTTTTCTTCAAAGGATCGTATATCAGAAGACCCTGAAACAACAAGGTTCCAACCGTCTTTAGCTATTAGATGTAAAATTTTTAGAATAATATAAAATAATGAAATTTCTAAAAAAAATATAAAATAGTGAATTCGTTTCAAAAAATTTGAAGAATCAGTTAGTGCCATATTCCTAACTGATTGATTTCACAAAGATATTGTGACCTTGAACCAAAGGTAATTGGTCATATTATTTTCTTTTTACCTTTCTAAAAGTAAATTTCCTTGTATTTTTTGTTGGCCGAACATTTTTTCGGCAGCAACTAGCCAGGCCTGGTTGGGCCAAGGGTGCCTTGAGCCTGGGACTTTAGGGCGGAGGCCTGGGTAAAGGGACCACAACTCATACTTGGTTCTACTCTTGGGCTAAGTGGTCGAACCCAACCTTGTTAACGGGTCAGGCAAGCTGGCCTGGGCTAGTAGATATTACGTATTTTTTAATTGGCGTTAGGGTGGAGGCCTGGGTAAAGAGACCATAGCTCATAGATGGTTCGACTTTTGGGCTAAGTGGTCCAACCCAACCTCGTTAATGGGTCAGGCAAGCTGGGCCGGGCTAGTAGATATCATTTGTTTTTAAATTCATAAAAACAAAGAAAAAGCTGGGCAATATTAGGCCAAGATCCCCATCTGCCTAGACACTGGTTTGGATTTCAGGCCTAGGCTTGGTCCTCGGGCCAAATTTAGTGGCCTAAGATCAGGCTGGGCAGACAACCTAGCCTCATTGACTCCTTTTCAAAGGGTGCAGTTAGCACAAGGGCACAACTTTATGATACTATTTGTGCTCCCTTATCATAATCTGAAAATCTATATATGTCTCTGATTATGAATTTTGAAGTTCCAAAACTAGTCAGATTTAGGAAATTCAGGAACATTTAAGAACAATCAATGATGAAAGGAAATTCATGAACATTTAAGAACAAGCAATGCTGATAGGAAATTCATGAACATTAAAGAACAAGCAATCCTGATAATGCATTATAAGATGTGTTATTTTTAACCTATTATTTTTTATATCTACAATTATCGAAGTCGAGATCATCAACTTCATAATATTTGGACACTAAAACAACCTATTATGAAACAGTTAGAGAAGCACTAACATTGACTTTTTATGTATTAGAAAGGGAGAGTCAAGCTAGCATTTGTTACTTCAGGTCTCGGCATTATAGTTATCAAGATTAAACCCGATCAGGTTGTCTGATAACCCATGGGCCAATGCCTTAGCAGGTGTGGTCCAAAGCAAAAGTCCAATTTGGCTAAAAGCCAACCAAAATCAATGTTTCATTGGTTTTAGTTCATTAGACTATCCAGTTTTTGACCTATTTGTCCCATTAAAAAATGTTGGGGGATTTTTTAAATATATATTTTATTTTAAACTATAATTCCTTCTTTTTTGTTTATTCTTTAAAATCTGATCCAACCGATTCGACTAACGATCAAACCAATAAATAGACTAAACTTCTTCCCCATTTGATCGCTGGTTCGATCCTTATAATACTACTACACATCCATTCTCAAATGCTGATAAGGTAGATGAAGAAATCCTATACCATCAGACACTCAAGTCGCAGCTCATCTCTACTACGCGTTAATCAAAAGAAACATCATATATTAGCATATATATATATATATATATAT